AAGAGCGTTTGTTTTGGAGGCTTTAAAAGGCGGTGCCACACAATGGACAGTGAGGAAAAGCAAACCCCCAAACCTATTGGGGTTTGCGAAGGATGTTTATAGATCCAGTGTTTCTAATTGTGTGCCGTATATCTCAAAAATCAGCAGCCGCGGTTTTTTCTGCCGCAGACCCTCCTCTCCCCAGGCTCCGGTGGGTGTTTTGTGCCATTGTTTGAGGAAACTCCGGGGATGGGAGTGGAGTTATTTTGATTAAGCGCTAAGGCCAATAGCAATTCCGCTTGGAAACCTTGCTTTGAGCTGTGAGTAGTCCAGCGTGTGACAAAGTAGCTGTGGCATGTTGGCAGCTGATGATTTAGAGATGTATGGCTGTGACCTGCGTTTCTGGCAAGCGTGGGAGCTGAGCCACCCCGAGCCACGCCAGCCGGGATCATGGGTTGGAAAAATACGGTGCAGGCAGGATGAGTGGGATTGCAAGTAAACCCAGACTTTGTGCACGTCTGATGAATCCAAACTGCAATTCTACCTCCCTGCAGGGCCCCGTGCTTTGTATTTCATAGCTTGCTTAACCCACCTGGGGGGAGCAGGACCCCGTTTCCCAGGGAGAACCTTGCTAAGTTTGCACACACACTTGTTCCCCTAAACCCTGCGTGTGCAGCCCAGCGCCTCCGACAATCCTGGGCTGGTGAACTGAAGCATGAAGGTCTGCGCTACGGCTGACGTATTCTTGCAGGTAAAGTGCTCTTGAGCCAAACGTGTGCTCAGTTCTGGATGTACCCTGGGTGATTTCGGAGAACCTCACGTGCAACCGCAGGTCTATTGCCGACAGAGCGTTGCATTCGAATAGTGTCGTGAAGCACCAGAGGTGCTCCTGCTCAGGCAAGCAGGGACCTTTCTCAAGCAGTGGGCCTTTTGTAGGGTTAGTTTGTTGTCCGTACAATAGCATCGCAGTTGGCTTGATAATTTTTCCTTAGCAATTTCCCAGGATAAATTGTAGGTCTTGTGTTCTCCCAAGCCTAGTCAGGCTTTGACAGTAGTCATCAGGAGCCAAGGGGATAACAGCTCTTCTGTGGTCTTCTAAAGATATATCCAGAAGTTAAAGCAACATAACATTTGTGTCTGCAGCAGGCTTTGGAGCTGTTTACAGCCCAGGGAAGAAATGCCAGTGATACACTGTGCATCCCTGCGAGCTCGTGCATGGGAAAGACTGGAAGCGTGCGCCCCAGAGCCCAGCATCCTTGGGGGAGCGTCGGGGCTGGAACCTGCGCAGAGGATGGACTCACGGCAGGAGCACGGATGTCTAAGCTCTCAAGCAGCAGCTTGAACAGAAGGAAGCAGAGGTGATCCCAGCTGAGGGGAACCCATTCTGACCTGGGGAGTGTGCCCAGCGCCCCAGAGATTTATGAGAGCAGGGCTGTGCATGGCAAGGCTCAGTGCCACCCTGGTCACCAGAGGAGTGTCCCTTCCCCACCAAGTGGCAAATGCTGTTCCAAGCTGCAGCCAGACGGGGCCACCGGCGAACAGCGGATGTTGGCCTCCCGCTTGCAGAACAAAGGACCGCAATATTGCTGAAAGTGTAATTACCAGAGCAATTAAAATTTCTATTGCTTGGGCTAGAAGTGCAAGTACCATGCAGGCTCTTACAAGGGCAATCAATTGGAATTTGTTCCTTTTAAAATGTTAAAACCCTGCCAAGGAATTTTTGCCCGCTCCCAGCAGCCTCCAGTTGTCTTCCTGCTTGCCCGCAGCAGTGTTCCTGGGCACAAGCTCGCCAGGTGCCTGCTCTGCTGTCACACCCTGGGTGCCAAGCACTTTGCGGTGACCGGACTCAGCAGAGCCTGGGAGCCTGGGGCTGGGAGCAGAAGCGGTGCTGAGCAGCCAGCCGCTCGCCCCTCCAGCCCCTGCTGTGATGTACTGGGACCCGATGGCACCTGATAGTCCCAGCAGCAATCCAAGTGCTGTGCTTGGAGCTGGATGAAGGAGAGAGGATGTCACTGCCCCTGCAGTCACAGGGGTGAGCCCAGGGAACATCACTTCTCCCCTTTTCCCCAGCTCAGACCCAGACACTTTCCTCCCTTTGGCTGCCAGCGCTTCCCAGCCCTCCAGTCCTTCCTGGCCCCAGGGGAAATGGCTTGACCTGCATGGCTGATCTTATTCTTGTGGACTGCTGGGCAGCAAAGAGGATTAGGTCAAGAAAAGTTACAGATGATCTTGAAAGACTTCTTTCAACACAAGTGCAGGAAGAGCCAAAGCCAACTTGAGATCCCCCTGGAAGAAATCAGTTGAGAGAAGTTGAGCGTCTTTTGGCTCTATCGATTCAGTCTGTTCTCTGCATTCGCTGTCGCTATGCAGACACTTCCTAGAGACCCCCTGGGCTCTGCTCACCTACCCACGGCAAATCTGACCCTTTCAATGCCTTTATCTTCCTCCCAAGACCTTCTGATGACTGTCACCAGTCTCAGATGATGCCGTGCTCGGGGTCCCTGCCATCCCAGACCCACCCAGGATCTATAAATCCCTGTCAAAATCCGTCCTGCTCTGTGGGCCATATTTGCAGGGTGTTGTGACGCTTCCTTGTCCCCAGCTGGTTCTCCTTCAACATGGTTTTCCTGCTCCCTTAGCCTCCAGGTACTGGCCTCTTTTGTAGGTCCCTTCCTCACATCACAGACGCCGCGTTTGCCGACAGACCGCCTTGCAGTTCGCCGGCGAATTTCATTTGAATTCCTTGCTGCAGCTGGGGTTTGTGTCGGGATTATGAATTTGCAGTGGGGGCTTTCATGTTCTCTTCAGAGTAATTTCTAAACCCAGAGGAGCAGCATTTCGCGTGGAAGCACTCAGAGACCTCTTACAAAAGCAGCGTTGGAGTATTGATCATTTTTTCTCTCCAGGGACCCGGAGCGCTACAGATCGAGCTGCTGTGCAGTGTAGCCACTTGCGGGCAGCACCACACAACTCTTCAGGATGAGAAGTGAAAAATAGCTCCAGTTGAAAGGAAAAGTGGTGTGCCCCCTTTTATATAGAGATCAATGATGCCTGGTACATTGGATTATCACTTAAAACACCAGGACTTCAAATGCCAGGGTGCATGCACTCCTGATGCTGACAGGCTGGTGATATATAATGCTGTTTGGGTTACCAACCGAGCTCCTCTGTGCAATCTTTTCATAAGGTGAATGTAATATCTGTGGTGATGTACCCAACGTTACATCAGGAGAGCCAGCCTATAATTATCTTGAATTGTTTGATCGGGTTATTTGTCACTAACGCATCAGCTCGCTCCATTTATTGCTACCATTCGGGGCTGCAGCAGGTTTGGTGTAAACACAGCTCGGGTGGAGGTTCGAGGGGGGTTAGATTTCTGAATAGAGCAAAGCAGAAGCATTTGGGGTTTATTCTTTTTTCCTGGGAGAGCTGTTTGCTGGGAGTGCTGGGAACAAAATGCATAAAGCAGCTGACACAGCATAACCGCTGTGTTTTCCGATGGACTTCCCGGGTGTACAGCTCGTGTGTTGGACTTTAGCATGGACCTGGTGGCTTTGCAATGAGTTGGCACGTTTACCATGGTCTGTTTTGTTCCTGGGAGAAATGGAGGCTTGCAAAGTGTGTTGTTTGTACAAAGAGCTGCTGCACAGCTCACACAGTTGCCGGGTGCCTGACCGGCTGTATTCCATGGTGGTTTCACGGCATTCATCCCAGAAAAGCAGCACCACTTGCATTGGTGTCACAGAGGTGGTTGTCTCCCCTGATGACATCTGATTTTTTGGTTACTGATCGGCAAATACGTACTCAGCCCTGTTTTGACCTGAGTGACCAGCATTCTCTGAAGGTGG